CCAGCGTCAATTCGGGGCAGCCGAACGGCTAATTGGCCGGCATGCAGGCGAGGGACAAGGACGAGGGCGGCCGCGCGGGGGGAGGGGGAGGACCCACACACCCCCTAGACGACATGCTCGCGTCGTGGAAAAATCACAAACTCGCGAGGGAGGTCTTCGGCCAGATTCGGCCTCCCGGGGGCCCTCGCCGGGCCCCGGGACCGCCAACAAAACGGTTCGGGATGAACATCTGGCGCTGAGGGGGGGCCGGGACGTGGCCCGTATCGCAAGAGAAAGAATCGGGTGCCTGGGCCCTGCACCCTGACCTTCCAGAGCGCTGCAGAAGAGCCCTCCAGACCTACGGACCTGCCTCGACTGCTCAAAAGCCTCGACTGGGATTTAGAGGTCGAGAGGTCCTAGTCTTGATTTTCCCCGACCGAGCCCAGGACAGTGGAGAGGCGGGGGCCGCCGGCTCGTCCCCAGGGGTCCCAGGGACGGTGCGGTGGCAGGGCGCGCGGCGGCCTCGACGCCCGCAGAGGCCTCGCCGCAAGGTGCGTCGCCGCGCGGTCTCTGGGACCTCGGGGCGCCCAGTCGCCCGCGGCATCCCTCGGCCCCCACGGACCCGCAGAAGAGGCGTATGAAGAAAAACGCCTTACGAAGCTACTTCAAAGGATGTGGACTGGCTGGGCGGCTAGGTCGAGTGGGAGCTGTTGTCTTTTCGGAGAACGACCCGAGGGCCGAGGCCGCGTGGTCGGGGAGGGCGTCGGGAAGGGCGTCGGGAGGAACGTCGGGAAGGGCGTCGGGAAGGACGTCGGGTAGGGCGTCGGGAAGGCCAGGGCGTCGGGAAGGGCGTCGGGCCCCCCCCCCCGAGGAGCCCCCACGGACTCGCCACGCGGCGCGGTCCCCGCACCGCCCGGGGGCCCCCCGGCCGTCCCTGTGGGGGGTGAAGAGAGCGCGCTCGGCCGCGGGGCCGCCTCCGGGGGCGCCGCTCCTCAACGGGGGTCGGCGGAGGCGGCCTCGGCCTCGCGGGTCGCCGTGACTCCGTCGCGAGGGACAGGGCCCACCGCCACCGGAGACCTTTGATGGGCCTCTTTTCCACCACCACCACCGCCACCATAAGTTGAATGGGGGAGGAGGTCCTCCTCCTCCTCCTCCTCCTCCGCCTCCTCCTCCTCCTCCTCCTCCTTCTCCTCCTCCTCCTCCTTCTCTTCGTCCTCCTCTTCCTCGTCCTCCACCTCCTTCCCCCCTCCAACTTATGGTTGTGGTGGTGGAAAACAGGCCCATCAGCCTTTCTCGCAGGCGCTGGTGGCAGCAGCAAGGCTGGCCGCATCGGTGTCCAGTGCAGCCTGGGGCAACTGGCCGAGCAGGCACAGCGATCGCTGCCACTGCCCACCCTTCTCGCACGAGCTGATCGCGGCACTGTAGGTGAAGCCTGTCAGCCTCACCCTCGCACGCGCCAGTTCACCGAATAACGACAGCGCGCGCTGCCACTGACGACCCCTTCCGCAAGCGCCGACTGCAGCGTTATAGCTGATAGCGTCGAGAACCAGACTCGATCCCGAAAGTCCTCTGAACAAGAATAGTGCGTGCTGCCACTGCCCATCCTTTTCGCACGCGCTGATCGCAGCGCTCCAGCTTACGATGTTCAACTCAAGCTTCTGCTGATGCATCTCGCTAAACAGAAGCAATGCGTACTCCCACTGCCTGCCTTTCTCGCATGCGCTAACTGCGGCACTATAGCTGACGATATCGGGCGTCAGCTTTGCCTGCAGCATCTCGTCGAGCAAAGACAGCGGCTGCTGCCACTGACCGCATTTCTCGCATGCGCTGATTGCTGCGTTGTAGGAGATCACATCTGGCACCAACCCAGCTTGCTGAAATTCGCTGAACAACGACAACGCTTGCTGCCATTCCCCGCTTTTCTCGCACGCGCTGATTGCAGCATTGTAGCTAACGACCGTTGGTCTGACCGAGAGTCGAGCAACGCAAAGCAGTGCCAGAGCCACAAGCCATTGACGACCTTTCTCGCACGCGCTGATTGCTGCGTTGTAAGTGAGAGACGGAAGAAACAAATGAACGAAGATACAGGCATACGGAACGACGGTTAGATATTCGACGCCCGTGAAGGGAAGAGTCAGGGGGGAGAGGGAGATAGAGAGAGAGAGAGAAAACAAAAAAAGAGAAAGAGAAATAGAGAGAGAGAGAGAAAGAAACAAGGAGAGAGTGAGAGAGAGAGAGAAAGGGACGACAGAAAGAGAGAGAGGGAGAGAGAGAGAGAATTAGGGGGCCGCTCATCGAATGAGAACTGTGTGTTCCCAGGCGGGGGACGACTGGCCCTGCCTGGGCCCAGCGACAGGACACCCGGCCCATCAACCCCAGGCTGACGGGAAGAGGGGTGCTCAGAGGAGGGAGGAGGAGGAGGAGAAGGAGGAGGAGGATGAGGAGGAGGAGGAAGAGGAGGAAGAAGAGGAGGAGGAGGAGGAGGAGGGGGAGGAGTAGGAGAAGGAGAAGGAGAAGGAGAAGGAGAAGGAGAAGGAGAAGGAAAGGAGAAGGAGAAGGAAAGGAGAAGAGAAGGAGGAGCAGGATGAGGAGGGGAGGATGAGGAAAGAGGAGACGGGGCAGCTGAGGAGGAGGCGGGCGCGAGTACGAGACGGAGTATGAACAGGATGGCTGCGGACTGGCCGACGCCCAGCAGCCAGCTGCAGGAGGGAGGAAGAGAAAGGGGAAGGAGGAAAAGGAGGAGGAGGTGGAGGAAGAGGAGGAGGAGGGGGGAGGAGGAAGAAGGAGGGAGGAGAAGGTAGGAGGACGGGGAAGACGGTCAGGATGGATGGTGTGTGGCGGGGGTGCCTGGGGAGTGAGGAGGGAGGCACAAAGGAGGATGAGGAGGGTGAGGACAAAGCCGAGGACAAAACCCAAGGATCCACCAGGGAGTCGGCCAGGAGTTTGAACAGCAGTGGTGTGAGGAGGAGCATGAGAGGAATGAGGGGGGGGGGGAGGAGGAGAGGGGGGGAGGAGGAGGAGGAGGAGAGGAGGAGGAGGGGAGGAGGAAGGAGGGAGGAATGGAGGAGGGAGGAGGAGAGGAGGAGCAACATAAAGAGCGAGAGAACCGATGAGGTGAGGAGGTAGGTAAGGAGGAGGAGGGAGGGACGGCAGGGGGCAGAATTGATGGGGGGACCCATGTAGTGGAGGATGACGGAGGAGAGGTGACGAGGAGGGTTGAGGTAGGAGGTAGGGAGGAGGCGGAGGAGGAAGGTAGGATGGAGGATGGGGAGGAGGAGGAAGGAGGAGGAGGAGGAGGAGGAGGAAGTAGGAGGAGGAGGGTCAAGGAGGGAGGACGAGGAGGACGAGGAGGGGGTGGGGGTGGAGAAAGAAAGAGGAGGAGGAGGAGGAGAAGGAGGAGGGGTCAAGGAGGAGGAGGTGGAGGACGAGGAGGAGAGGCAAGGGAGAAGCGCATGAGGAAGAAAGAAAACGGATGAGGACAAGTCAGGAGGCAGCGCAGGACGGAGAGAGGAGGAGAGAGGAGGGAAGATACACGAAGCAGGGGAGGAATGGATGAGCAAGGACGAACGAAAAGGAAGCGGAACGAAGAGAGGTGAGAAGGAAGGAGGCCGAGGGAGGAGGGAGAAGGAGGAGGAGGAGGAGGAGGAGGAGGAGCAAGGATGGGATTGCACGCTTAAGAGGGCAGTCCAACAACCTCAACTGAAGCAAGGCCCCCGCAAGTGGAATGTCGAGGAGGAGGAGGAGGAGGAGAAAGAGGAGGAGGAGGAGGAGGAGAAGGAGAAAGAGGAGGAGGAGGAGGAGGAGGAGGAGGAGGAAAAGGGGGGCAACGACAACAACGACGACGACGACGACGACGACGACGGCAGCCGCGACGAAGACGACGACGACGAAGACGAAAACGAGAAGGAAAGGAGAGGTCGACAAGGAGGATGTACGGACAGGCGGAAGGCGACGGAGGAGGAGGAGGAGGAGGAGGACGGAAGAGGGAGGAGGAGGGAGAGGGAGAAGGAGTTAGGAGGAGCGAGCAGGAGAAGGAGGAGGAGGACGGAGATGTGAGAAGAGGAGGACGGAGGAGGGAGGGGAGAAAGGAGGAAGAGGTACTTAGCAGGAGGAGGTAAGAGGAGGAGGAGGAGGAGGGAGGAGGGGAGTAGCCTAAGCGAGAGGAGCAGGATGAAGAGAACAAGGAATGTCACCCTTCGCCACGGCCGAATTGCAGTATCGCTTCCCTTACTTTGGACGGGGCTAGCGCCTTGCAAAGAGTGGTTGCATTAGGTTCTAGCTTCACCCGACACAGCTGACTGAGTAAGAGCAGCGCATGCTGCCACTTCCCGCCATCCCCGCATGCACTGATTGCAGCACTGTAGCTTATCGTGTCCAGCCTGATGTTCTGCCGCGGCAACTCGCGAAGCAACGACAGTGCTATCTGCCACTGTCCGCATTTGGCACATGCACTGAGCGCAGCATTAGAACTCACGACATCTGGCTCCAGCGCATCCTGCCACAAACGACTGAACAACGACAACGCCTGCGACCACTTGAAGCACTTATCGCACGCGTTGATCGCGGCGCTGAAGCCGACCACGTCCGACTCCAGGCTCACGTGCCAGAGCTCGCTGAACAACGACACCGCCTGCTGCCACTGCTTGCCCCTTCCAGCCGCGCTGACGGCAACATTATAGCTGAAGGTGTTCGCCTCCAGGCCCCCGCGAAGCGCCTGTCTGGCAGAGCGCACGAAAAGCAGGGCGAGGGGGGAGACCTTCCAAGAGAGGGGTCTGGAGACAACCCCTGGGAGGCCGTCGTAAGAACGGCTGAGGGATACTAAGCTCGATCAGGCGCCACTCAGCTGGACTGAGCTGGCCTAGGCCCAGGATTCAATGAGACTCGGCCGGATCAAACGGCATTCGGCGGGGCGATGCCGAATTGGGCCAGCTTTCGACCGCGGACATGCCAGCGCCGACGCTCACTTAGTAACCTGCCACAGACATGAATACCAACCTAGAGGCATCAAGAAGGCCTCTCAGACCCGAAATCTGACGTTGCGAACAAAACATCGCGAGAAATTACGACTGGGGACCCAGGCTCCATCTTTCTGCAGCAGCTTGCGAGCCCGATCGATATGTGATGGTCCCTGGGCCCGCACCCAGGCGGAAACGCCCAGTATAACAGCAAGTGCAAGGCCCAGATCTCAGGGGAGGGCAGGATGAGCTTCTTCAGAGGCGGGATAGGCCTTCTTCCCTGCCCCCCGCCCTGCCCCCGACCGAAATCTGCTCAAGCCCAGTCCCCAGACCCCCATCCTGGTCATCGCTGCGAGCAGCGCTCAGCCGTGGCGGCCAGAGGGGGGCCCGAAGGGTAAACAAAACAAGCACACGAACCAGACCAAAATACACACACACATGTTTCATGTGTACACAACCCACAGCTACACATCAAACATGAACACAGGTTTATAGGTGAACGGGAACAGGTAACAAACAACTGAAGCAAATACCGAGTCCCCCCCAAGGTCCAAACGAAGCAACAAAACACCCAAACGAACAAACAAACAAACAAACAAGCAAGCAATCAACCAAACAAAGAAACACGCAAGCAAACAAACAAACAAACAAACAAATAAACAGCCACACAAACACACAAACAACCGACAAACAAACAGACAGACAGACAGACAACCAAATAAACAAACAACCATACAAACAAACAAGCGAGCAAGCAACCAAACAAACAAACAAACACACACACAAACAAACAAACAAACAAACAAACAAACAAACAAACAAACAAACAAACAAACAAACAAACAAACGACCAACCAACCAGCCAACCAAACGAACAAACGAACGAACGAACAAACAAACGACGCGCGCCGATGGCGCCTGCCGCAGCAGGTCCAGCGCCGCGCTCCATCGCCCAGCGTCCCCGCACCTCCGGATGGCGGCGGTGGTCGACCGAAGGCCCTGGCTCGGCGGGCACCCTGGCCGCCGCGGATCCGCGCCAGGCATGCCACCCGCCGGCGGCGCGCACCAAGGCGAGAAGCGCGAAGTGGGCGGCCTTCTGGGAAGGCGGGGGGGGGGCTTCTTAGGAGCCCCCTCGGCCTCTATAATTAGGTCGGGCATGCCCCCCTACAGGCGGATTTTGGACGAAAAATGCGAAATCGAAAAAAAAACAAAAACTTCCTCCATTAATCCAAAATCCATAACATTCGGGCACGTCCCCAGAGCATTTCTGGACTGTTGTTGAATACTCTCCTCCTGCAGAGGGGCGCGCCCGACTTCACTCTACAAGAAGCCCTCTTGAGAGAGCGCCTGGGGTCCTCCCCAGAGAGGGCCGCCC